CAGTGAGGAGGAAGAGTCGGTCAGGTTGCAGTGAGGAGGAAGAGTCGGTCGGGTTGCAGCACAATATTTACTGCAGTATTACAGCCATGCCAATAATGATAATAATCTTCAACATTTCCCACACAGCCATCTAACATCAAGGCTCCCATTATCTAATGAAATCATTACGCAGCTACTCAGCTAACTAAATCACAGCGTGCTAGTTTAACTTCTTCACTGAGGATATGCGACGCTTGTATTTGTCATACATCAAGCCGAATAGCTCAGACTGGGCACACATGCAAGGCTAAACACCGTCTACAGATGCCATCCTGAGCTGTGGGAAACAAACATCACTACCGCTGTCAGCGTGCTTTCTTAAAGAGGACAGGAGCTGCAGACATCAGCACGTACTGGTTAGAGGTATGAGGGACTCGTCTGTGGTTTGTAGTCTCCACTTCAGCACACCCACATCATTGTTAAGAGGGAAGGACTTCTCCGGGTTCTTCAGGCCAATCACAGACTCAGCTGTGAACAACTTCTTGTCCACATTAGGATGTGTCTAAGAAACAGAGGGCGAGACGTTTCAATAAAGATCTTTAACTGTCAAACATCACAGCAAAACAGCCTGGTCACTTTAAACAGACTCACTCAGAGGCTTACGCTCTTATTACTATTTCATTATTTCTCAACAAAGTAAAGAGCTTAAGTCTTTGGAATTGATTTGAAGAGGGACATTTGCATTTGCAAGCTGCTGTAAACCAAAAACATGCAGTCATCCAAACCTGAAAGGAATTTCTGTGTTTACCTGTCGACCAGGAAAAACTCTGCTGTGTCTGCCTTCATCTCATTGTTAACATCACACTGCTCACTCTGTGTTTTCTGAATGTGGGGTTATATCGCCACCTGCTGCTCTGGCATGCTCTTGACAGTGTTTAACATAGTTTGTGTGCTTTCACAGAAATATTTCTTAAAACATAATAATTATCTTTGTTTGTTGGATTGCGTTTGAGCCCCTGTAAGTAGGGGACCGTGTGTGATTATTCAACAGCTGAGCGTGTAAAATGAAAGCTGACCGTCTGGACTGAGAGTATACAGATTCATCATATAACTGTAGCTTCAACGTTCAGGTACACAGCTGAAATCCAAACGCACTTCAAAATTACGATTATGGTTAAAAACAAATGAAAATAAAACTGGGTTATGTGTTTAACATAACATACACAGTGTAGCACTGTCTGCTGCACACGCGTGTGTGTGATAAACCAACCTGCAGTTGCAATCCTTTGCCATCATTGTTATTGATAATCAGGCGGATGCGTCCATATTTGTCGTCTGTGACTCGGAGCGTCACCATACCCAGCACCTCCATGTTCTGTAGGCCGCCATCACGGCCGCAGGTCAATGTGATCTTCTCCTCCACACGCAGATGCACACTGCAGGCCAAATCACCCACACGCACTTTAAGAAAGCAGCACTGAGATGACCCTGTGACTGAATCTTAGCATGAAGCTGAAGTTACAGCAGTGAGACGCACGCACACATGAAACAGGAGATGTGTAACCATCCGTTTTCTTCACCTGGCTGTAAGCAGCCTGTTTGTGCGGCGTGCTGCACTGTTGGACACTTTGTTACAAATTAAAAAGCCTCACTTATGAAAATGTTACATTGTTACAATGTTAGAATTAAGTTATATTACAGTTATAACAATCATAACTTTAGGATCCACTGAGCGACATCTATGAGCCTGTTAACCGCACCCGGCACGCACCTGTCACGCACCTGTCACACTGTGGGTGTGTTTGTTTTGTGTCACTAACTGGGTGGTGCATTAAAGCAGGGGATTAATTAATGTACAGTTTTATAACTAGGTTAGGGCGCACTGATGCCAAGCTCGACCTGTAATGACATCATCCTTTATCCTTCTGGTATTTGACTTTAACAGGGAAACTTATATATTTAAGGTAAAAGTATTGGATTGTCACAAATGAGAAGAATAAGTAAATGAATGTGTCGTGATCACAGCTCAGATGTTGTCACTGCAGCCTGATGAAAACAGTCCCAGAGGAATACACAGCACTGAATGAGGACGTACCTCTCCATGTTGACTGGTGGTGGCAGAGCTTTCGAAACATCGGATCCCCTCTTTCCTGTGGTGGGCATGATGGTTTCACCCTCAGACTTGAGCTTGTCAACAAAATTGTCCACCTCTTTCCCTTTAGCCCCCAGTTTCAGAGCCTTACTGGGTCCACTTGGTCTGAACAGAAACAAACACGATGTCCCGTCAGCCTGATCAGTCCACTGTTTCTGCAACCACAACAACATCTTCCCATACAAACTCGTTGTACCTGACTGGAGCCGCTGTGATCTTGGGCTTCTCTGGCTCGATGATGGTGTCTGTGATGATGGTCCCCGAGGACACACTGGTCATGCCAGCGCTGCCGAACCCGCCAAAAGCTGGCACCTTCTTCCCGGAGCGCTCAGCGTCCCTCCTGGCCTGCTGCAGTTCCTTGGCCTTCCTCCTCATCTCTGCCTTGGCCTCGCGCTCCTGAGTCTGTAGCATTACAAAAGAAAGTGAGCAGGGATCAGAAGAGCAGCGCTGATACAGTCACGACAGCTGACAGTCACTCTGAAGGAGGGAAAATATAAGACTGTTAAATTTTAAATACTGACAGTGCAGCTGTGCTGTCAACCCTGCGGGTTCATCACACTTTGCTTAACCTGTTCAGTGTGTACGTCTCATATTCTCCTTCATCTCCCTCCTTCTATTAAGCTTTGAAAATCATCACTAAACTCCAATCGTCCTTTTAAAAGACAGATAATAATTGTGTAATATAACTCTCCATGTGCTTCTTTCTAATTTGCCTGAATAATTCAACAGGAATCCAACGAGGTAGGCGGAGCCACATCTCACCTCCCTGACGGCGCGGAACACCTTCTCCTCGTGGGAGTCCATCTCTGTGAAGGTGCGGATCTGAGCCAAGTTGACGTTCTCTCTGTAGCCCAGTGCAACGATCTCATCGAAGGCGAAGATCAGGTCAAAACAGTGCTCCGATATTTCACTCTCCTCCAGCACACGACAGTACTCTGGGATCTGGAACAGAAGGGAGGAGCGATTCATTTAAACTAATGGATAAGGATACAACAAGGACACATTAAGCACCACTGTAGCCTCGTTCTCGCTGACAGACTTTACTAACACCATTAGAGTATTTAAAAGTAGAATGGGAGGCAGAGCCTTCAGTTTTCAGGCCCCTCTTCTGTGGAACCAGCTTCCAGTTTGGATTCGGGAGACAGACACTATCTCTACTTTCAAGATTAGGCTTCAAACTTTCCTTTTTGCTAAAGCATATAGTTAGGGCTGGACCAGGTGACCCTGAATCCTCCCTTAGTTATGCTGCAATAGATGTAGGCTGCCGGGGATTCCCATGATGCATTGAGTTTTTCCTTTCCAGTCACCTTTCTCACTCACTATGTGTTAACAGACCTCTCTGTGTTGAATCATATCTGTTATTAATCTCTGTCTCTCTTCCACAGCATGTCTTTATCCTGTCTTCCTTCTCTCACCCCAACCAATCACAGCAGATGGCCCCGCCCCTCCCTGAGCCTGGTTCTGCTGGAGGTTTCTTCCTGTTAAAAGGGAGTTTTTCCTTCCCACTGTCGCCAAAGTGCTGCTCATAGGGGGTCATATGATTGTTGGGTTTTTCTCTGTATCTATGAAGCGCCTTGAGGCGACTTTTGTTGTGATTTGGAGCTATATAAATAAAATTGAATTGAATTTATTTACCCATTATTCCCAGAACCTAATCTTCGTTTGCACACCAGCTTCCATACAGATTAACTGGTATGAGGCACACGTGTACCATCTGCCCCACTTCTATCACCATCAACAACATGTGACTGAATACAACAAAGCATCAACTGGATTCACAATGAAAAACTGACATCTGTATGTAGACTTCCTTCTTACCGTGTCCTCACAGTTCGCAGCAGAGGATGCAAAAATGATATATGCCAACAGTGACATGTTTCCCACATGGATACTGGCTGGCCTATCAAACAGACAGCATCAGGGACGCAGGTGTTACAGCTGTTTCTCCTCATTGGAGACAGGGGCCTTTGTGCTGAACAACAACTGTAGGTAAACAAGGCCCACAGTGGCCTTTTAAACACAGTGATGAATAAGAAAATGTGGCGTAATGCTGTGTGTCCACAGGCAGTGCTTCCTGCACGGGAAGGAAACGTGGACTCACACTCAGAGCGCTTTTTCCTACACGTGTTGTTGCTAGGCTACAAAGACATCTTCAGTGTTTTGTCCTCTGCTGTTATTTAGTGTTTAGAGCTTCAGAGGAGCTTTGAGTCTTGTTATGCAGTAACACCGATTAGAGCAGCTGCTTGCTGAGGGCAGTTTTAACGTGAGGACTTCAATTTATTATTTTTTATTATTTTTGTTCCTGGTTTGTACATGCAGTGTTTTTAAAACTGTATTTTAAATGTTTATATTTTTTGCTGTTAAAGCCTGACTCTTAACATCTACTGCAATACAAACGTTGGTCGTGTTGCATTAACAGCCTAACACTGTTGACTTCATCACTTCAGTCAGCGTGAAGTTCAGTGGCCGTGTTCCCTAAAGGCTGGTAGCAAAAGCATCGCTCCACCTCACATTGCAGCTTCTCGCACCTTAACATCATTTCAGTCATTAGATTTTTTTCTTTCTTCAACTTTCTTCCAACTACAACAAACTGGGAAAGCAACAAAGAGAAGTCTGTAATCTTTCTTTGCTTTCTTTTCAGCGGCCACCAGGGGGCGTCTCCAGGTAAACACTTAGCTGGTGAGTTTATGGGCTCGGTGACTGATTTTAGGCCATAATAGATAAAATATTGAGCCCATTATGTGAATATGAGTTATTTTGGGTGTGAGGATTACCCAACGTATGCTCATCGGCTAATGTTTGTGATTTACATGCTGCTAGCTAGTCATCTTTTTACAGTGAGTTCACCCTTTGTTCATCACAGCTGGTTTCAAAGAAGCTGCATCTATCCTGTACACTTACTGTAACGCTCAGAACGTACAGGTTTTTACAGTGACACGTCTCTGCATTTATTCTTCTTTGTTACCAGACCGGTCACCTCGTCGGCAGGTCAGACAACATATACTTAAATGCTCTTTGCAAACTGACGTCTATCCAAGCCTGCCTGTGTGCGCTTACCACACGGGAAAACAGTCTGAGTGTCTCCAGGTCCTCCAGGATGTTGCTGTTCTTGGTGGTGATGAGGACCATGTAGAGCTTCTCCAGCGGCTGGTACACATAGCGAACGCTGTCTGTTTCCACAAAGGTGTGCTGCTTGCCCGTGTTCATCAGTTTAGGAAACGCAGCTAGGAGACCCTCAATGCGTGTCCGGGTCATTTCCACAAACTGCCGCGATACGATGGCCTTGCCGGCCTTGGTGCACACCGCCGCTGCCAACAGCACCTGAGGGGTACAGAGGACTACTTTAGTTTCCCACAGACCTGAAGTATTACAACTAAAGATGCAGTAATCGGACCAACATCTATGCTCATAATAACAACAGGTCAGCAAATGTCAACATTCAATATTTTTTTTCATGTAATATTTTCTTCTTTTATTCCAAAGAAACAAGAAAAAACTAAACAACAAAAAACCAGAACTGTTTACACTACTGCAGATCTTCATCACACTTACTGAGGATTCATTCATCAGCAGGAAATCTACAACATAGGTACACTGTGACTGCAAACTACTTGGAAACCCTACATCTTAACCTGATGTGCTCCTGCCTAAAAATGTAACACCACGTCACGTTGACACAGCCAGAAACAGCTGTGACTGTTCAATACCACCGATCCCTCCTGTGAATTTCTGCTAGTTTTTGCTGCAGTCTTTGATTTGATTTATCAATCATCATCTACATATAAGGAATAATAATCATAGTAAATAAGAAGACACATTTCACCAAATTACAGGAGGAAGATTGACAAAACTATCAGAGTGAACATGAGGAAATGCACAAAGAAGTGGAAAAGCTTCACATTGAAGAGTGGAGACTCAGAGCAAAAAGTCTTATTTGCTTTCGTCATAGGCGACACTGCATATGAAACCCAGGAAACGAGCACAATGTAATTAGCAGATAATGCACCAGCACACAAATGCTGATAAGATTGGCCACTTGCATAGGTTACATCGTTGACTCTTCAAATATCCACTGTAGAAGTCTAAGTCAGCCATTAGCCAATGCTAGCCTGATGTGGCCTACACTCAGGTAGGACCATATCAGCTGATTCTGATATTTAGCCGATACAGTGAAGTCAGAAAAACCAGACAAGAGTACTTGTCGTTTGATATATTGGTGCTCTCCTGATTACACACGGCTGTAGTTGTTTGATGACGTTACTAAATGCACATGAACTGTTTGCCTTTCTCTTAGGTGAGCGTGTCTTACTGGTGCAGATGTTAGCACAATGGAAAACGATCTTATAAAAGAATCAGGGGTCGTTTAATATAATGAGTATAACAATGGTTGACATAAACGGACGTTTTACGTGGCTGTGCTAAATGAATGGAGGAACTGCACTGATTACACGTTGACAATAGAAATGGAAGACCCGATCGCACCGTCGTGAACTCGATAAAGACGCGCAGCAACTTTGGTTATCGAAGTCATCGACACTAGCTAACTATAATAACACAGTTGTACGTATAGTTGGGGTACGTCGCAGAGCCGGGTCGGTTTAACCTGGCTTATTACAATCTGACAGAAGGCAGTGGTTGCACGGATCCGGCTACTGACAGGAGACAACTAGCGCTAGCCCGCAAAGCTAGTTCACGTCAGCACGGACTGCACAGCTAAAGCGCTTCACTCAGGTGAAATTCAACTTTGACGACTCATTTACTCGATTTTAGCACCTGAACATGTCGCTATCACTGTGGCTCCGATAAAAAAAAGCACCGTTTATTAATTGTCTTCTTTCCTTCATGAGGGGGGAGAAGCTAGTTTGCTCATAACTAGCTTTAGCTACTAGCCAATGTTATGATAGCCGCTAGGCCCGATAAAAGGCAGGGAAATAATGGTCACTTTCGACTGTCACTCACCATTGTGGTCTCTCTCTACGGCACGACGGTCGTCAGTCTCTCACGTTTCTTGCTTTGGTGATTCCTCGTCCCTCTGGAATAGCAAGGTGCGAATATACAGCTGACTTCCAGTTGTGTGATTGTTAGCTAGTTAGCGTCAATATGGCAGCAGCACAGAGCCACGTCTCCACCGGAAGAGCCGCGCTGGATCAGCCCACCGTGGAAACCAATGACGTGGGCCCTCAAATGTTGGCCTTGTTGCATAAAGAAGTTACTCAGATTACTTCCACCAGGCGTTTCTTCTTCTTCTTTAGACTTCTGACTACTGACCACAAATTACCTCCACGCGATTACTTTTAACGTTTATCAGCGTATCAATAACCTGGCAAACATAAATATTATTCAGAGAGGTGGTCAGAGTAGTTCTGAGTGATAGCATTTCACGTCTGATGGGGCTGGTCTCCGGATGAAAATGTCTTCACCCACAGAGCACACAGGGGGTCGTGTAAAAAGAATGATATGCTACAGTCCTCACAGTGCAGGCAGCGCTCTCCACCACCATCGTCAAAACACTAACCCTATCCCATCTGTGTATCCGTGATGTGAACTAACGATGGGTGAGCTGTGAAGCATGTGAGGAATGTAACTAACATGTTGCACTTTAACAAAGTCAGATATATTATGGAATTTCATTTTGTCTTTTAAGTTTAAGTTACAAAAATGTTGAATTCTGTTTATTATTATTATTATTATTATTATTATCAAAGAAAGAAAAGTAAACATTAACTCCAACAATCCATCCTTCTGCTTATCCAGTTCCACGACTAGCTGGGGCTTATTCCAGTTCAATCAATTTCCAACTTCCTGTTAGCAGGTGTGACTGTGCATGGACAATAAAGAGTTATCTAATTAAACTAACCTGTGCATGTCTTTGGACTGTGGGATTAATGCCCAGACAGAAGATTAATTACTGGAGATAATTAATAAATTATTAAACATATAGAAGAAGAAAATTGCCTTGCATTAGCATGTTTTATTTGGTTAATATTAACATAATAATATTCACTTAAATTTTATATTAATTAGTATGTTAATATTTTGATCACGTAGTCAAAAGAATACAGACTTCTTTATTTGCATGGGGGATGAGTGTAGCAGAAATATTTTAGTTTATGGAAAATAATGGGTTTGATAGCTTATAGATGAGGTAGAACATTTTAAGCAGACAGTTTGAGCATCCATCCAGGGTCAGGGTCGCTGGAGTCTATCCCAGCTGTCATAGGGCGAGAGGCGGGGTACACCCTGGACAGGTCGCCAGTCTGTCGCAGGGCTAAAACACAGACAACCATTCACTCCCACATTCACAGCTAGTGGCAATTTGGATTATCCAATTAACCTATCCCCACAAGCTGCATGTCTTTGGACTGTGGGAGGAAGCCGGAGTACCCGGAGGGAACCCACACAAACACGGGGAGAACATGCAAACTCCACACAGAAAGACCTGATGGTGGAATTGAACTCAGGACCTTCTTGCTGTGCGGCAACAGTATCCACCGTGCTGCAGTTTGAGCACAGTATTTTTTATTTAATGTAAATGCACACGTAAGCAAGATGCTGGTGGCAGGAACACTTTAAGATATTCAGAATGTTCTTAGGGACATAAATCCAACATTCATATGGGAATACTGTTTACATGTTTGTATATTAGTGCCTGTGGCTCGGGCAGTAGAGCCGGTCCTCTACTAGTCAGAAGGTTGGTAGTTTGATCCTTGCCTGCTCTTTTCTCCAGTCTGCATACCTGAGTATGTTTGGACGTCATACTGCTGTCTGATTGCGTCACTGGAGTGTGAACACATCGATGCGTCTTTCACCCAGGGGGAGGGGGAAAATGGTTCTCATTTTAGACCCCTAGCATAAAAAACTACACACGTCACAGTGTTGCAGTAACTTATTTAGGTCACTAGGTGTCGCCATTAAACAAAGGGAAGAGGAACACGCGCGATCCTGTATTTATCTCACTGCGGAGGATGTTGGTTTTTTTGAAGCAACAGATATTTCACTGTTCCGTTAAATTATACAGTAACAATGTAAGAATATGCGTGTAATACATTTACTCCCAGTCCTGCCTCCGACATTGTGAATCCACTGACTCACTGGATAAGCCTACAGGTGTGTAGTTGGTATAAAAGTCCAAAGTTGACAGACAGGTTTTATGGCCACGTCGTCAGATCACAAAAACATGACACAAGACGTCAACTTTTAAAGTAATCATTCTAATACTACTGGCAGCCGGAAGTCAATTATTGCGCTTTCCCTTCTTAATCAATAACAATTTTGTTTCTTTTAAACTTCCAACATAGTCACACTTGAAGTCGTGGATGTGAGCACCCACGCCCGCAGAAGCAGAAAGGACAGGCGGGACCAGGAAATGACCTCTAGCCGGTCCGATGACATCACAGCCACCACGCTCATTCATACGCGGAGCTGTTTGAGACGAGTGCTCGGAGTTCATCCAGGAGTTTAGGTGTCTCTAATAGTCTCTGTGTCCAGAAAAACACGCTGCTGATTCGTGCAACACCGGCGGAGTCAACCGAACCACCGACATGTCGGAAGAAGCTAGTTCTCCGGTAGGTTTTCTTCACTGTTCTGTCAGGTTTTCCCGGTGGACTTGCTGCTCGTTTAGCGTTCACGCGTTGTGTGTAAATTTCGTCATCACGTAGGGCTCGTTGATTGGCTGACGTTTGTGCTTGTCTGCGGATTCTGCTCTCTATTGGACAGGGGGCGGTGTCAAACGTGACAGACAGTAGCTGTAAAAAGCTAATCGTTAAGATCAGCGCTGGGCAGAAGCAGGCCGCCAAACAGAGTGATGACACCGAAACACTGAACGCTAACCGTACAGGCTGCGTGCTTGTTCATTTGCTAACGTTAGAGTTCAGCGTGTTAGCTGTTGACACCGAAAACCCACCGCCACTGTTTCCCCTCTCAGACTGAAGTAACTCAGAGACTGATACTGAGTAACTTAAGCTAGCTGTTTAGCTTTTATATTCCCCCCTCGTGAAATGGGCAGCACTGCCTCAGAGTTACGTTGATAAACTTGGAGGTGAACGCACTTAAAAGTTCAGCATTTTATTAAAATGACACTTAGCTATTATGTCACCGGTGCCGAATGGATGTTTGCCACCTGCTAACATCGGCTACACGATAACAGGCATGTTTATAAAGGCGCTGAGTAAACATGCCAAATTAATCGATTTTTGGATGCAGTTTTCGGACAGACAGCTGGAAATTCAGTCTTTTTTTTTCACCCTTCGTAATACCCAGAGTTATGTCTGAGACGTGCACGGGTCAGGTGAAAAATAAATGAGTAAAAAGAAAGAAAATGTTACAAATAATATTTTAACGAT